TTTAAGATTTCAGGATGGGACAGTGTGATTTGGAGAATGAAAGCAGTTGCTTTTGGGGGAAGGATACAGGTCATGAAAAAATAACTCATGGGGAGAGGATTAGGAACCTCTCAGTAAGGCATGTGAAAGCAATGTTGATATAACAGACAGGAAGAAGACATTTACTGAGCACCTACTACATACTAACAGTGTATTAGCTACTGCATTTCAGTTTCTCATTTGATTCTTATAGTCACCCTGCTGGAGAGGCACTCATTTCGATTTTACACAAGAGGTCTAGAGATGTCATGTGGTTTGATGCAGATCACACAGTGTGAGTGATTTGTTTGATTCCAAAGCCCATATGTGTTCTTTACCGGTCTGACTCAGGGGAAACCAACCACAGTGACAATAAGTAGAGACAGATACTTGAAAATTGTCAAAGAGATGGATATTTGAAGACACAAAAATTGTTGTTTGATATATAAAGTACAGCTAGCAAGAGTCATTTATGTCCCACTTATGCCTAATTACCATATAACACAATAATGATTATGATGAAATATCTGACAGATGAGTTGGCTGTGCATTTTACTTGATCCAAACAGAGAGTACAGCACATATGGGCTCTTCGTCATTTCTTGCCCACACGGCATGGTCATTTCTTTGGTCAGAAGTTTCAGGCCACCATCTGTAGTCTAGCCATAAAACAAGGTAGAGCCATGTACAGTCTTTACATTATTGTCGACAAGAGAATAATCCATTGATTTGCTAATTGTCCCTTCCTGCTGTGGACAGGTATCATTAGGAAAAACATACATTTAGGCTTCAGTGACTACAAGTTCCTGCTTTGATTATTGAATTTGGTGAGACTTGTTTTTAAATTTTGTGATTAGATGAATGTCTAGGCCCACAGTGAGTGAGCAAATTAACTGATTCTTTCTTGGAGAGAGAAAGGACGTTGCTTAAAATGGCAAGGATGGGGATATGGATGACAGGGAGATGCAGCTGTAATGAATCAGTAGGCAGTGGATTAGGATTCAGAAAACCTGGTTTTGCTATTATTTGCTATGTATCTGTAATCTATGCATATTAATTTTTAAATCCCTAAAGTGAGAATAATATCTGTCTTATTTGGCATGTTTTGGTCCCTTAATGCAAACCCTGAGAGAAGAATTTTGAGTGAAGATTCTTTATTTTGGAGCTGATCCAAGGAAGCACAGTGAAGTAACTGATGAGCAAGTGGGAGCTATGGGCAATTGGGGGTCAATACTATGAGGATGCTGTATTGTTATCTACTGCTATGTAACCCAAAATTTAGTGGTTTAGAACAACAAATATTTACTGCATTCGTTTTTTTTTACAACTAGAATTTGGAGTGGCTAATCCAGGTGGTTTTGGCTCCGCACTGATCTCACATGAAGTTATATATAGTTAAGATATTTTTAGTCAAAGCTGCAATAATCTGAAGGCACGAGGGGGGTTGGATGATCCATTTCCAAGGTGGCTCAGCCATGTAGCTTGTGAACTGGTGATGGTCATTGGCAGGAGACCTCAGTTCCTATCTGTAGCAACAACTTCTCCACAAGCTGCTAGAGTGTTCCCATGATGTGAAGGTTGACTTTTCCCAGTAGAAGTGATGCCGAAGAGAAGTAGCCTTCTTATGACCTAGCTTTGGTCGTAAGTGATACTATGATGACATAGCATCCCTGGCATTTTCTGGTCAATCAAAGTGAGTCAGTGTAGCCCAGATTCAAGGGGAAGAAACTCAGTCTCTTGAAGAAAGAAGGTTTGAAGAATTTGTTAACATGTTTTAGAACTACCACACACCGTATGTGGTACACACTTCAGAATTTTTATTTTCCCTGAGAGTAAAAGAAACTGTTGTTGATCGGTTGAAGATACTGAGTGGTGTGCTGCAGACAGAAGTGAGTGAAACTGAGAGAGAGATAGAGATCTTCTCCCATTCCGAAGGAGATATAGGAGGTTAAGAAATACTCTCTGAGGTTCTAGGGTTGCTGAAGAGCACTGATGATAAGCGGCACTGACACAGATTGATTCCTGTCTGCCAGAACCAACGGTGCCCACTTAACTGAAGGCCAGAAGAGATATCTGAGCTCAATTTGCCTAGCCTTTAACAATCTCCATTTATCATGACCGGAAGAACCTGCCTCTCTTACCTTTGTATTCTTCAGCTGAACATGGGACTAAGGATTTTGTTCTATTTCCTAAGACCCCCTTGCTTGGACTAGCAGATTATTTCTAAATGTTGTATAAATGGGAGGTATTTATAAACACATACACATACACTTCTATCCACAAAGACAAATGCACCCCTCTCTGCTTTGCTATTTCTGGTGCTAACCTTCATTTATAATACCATGTTTATGTAATTACACTGCTGCAGCAGCGGATCATGATTTCAAAATACAATCATAATCACCGTCAGAAGAAAGTTGAGAGAAGATGAAAAACAAATGCAAAGCAATTAGAAAGGAGGAGTTTTCCCACTGCATGAGTTTTCCCACTGCCTCCTCCTACGCTTGGGCCTTGGGATGCTCTGCCTCTAGCCATGTGTGTGTGTGGGGGGACGTGCGTGCCTGTGTGTGTGTGTGACCGCATATGTGTGTATTGACATTTTTGCTCTTGTTATGAATCTGGGCCTGGGACTAGAGTGTGTATACTCACTGAAGTGGTTTATTACTTGGAGAATACCATCCTTCTGCTTGATTGGATTTTTCTGTTTAAGCCTCTGTGGTTTTAGTGGTCAGAGGGTCTTGGCCACAAAGTTTATTTTATGACCCGTGTATCACCCTTCACATCTCCCCCATAAGAACACTTTTAGTATGTGACTTCCACAGTAGTATTTTTTTTAAGGTTTTCTATGTTTGAAAAATAATTTTCCACTTCCAGAATTTACCTGTCCCTCCCATCCCTGCTTTCCCGATTCTGCTCCTTCCATTATCTTTTTGCAGCACCCCTCCACCTCCATCACTACCAAGATGCCTGAAAATTCGATAACATCCTATTATCTCTGCTGGGCAACTTGCCAGCTAGAACCTCAGAGGTCTGGGTCGCTTTGTGTCAGGGACACTGCCTTTCTTGCTTGTCGCATTCTTGCAGACCTGTGGAAATACTGACTCCCTTTGCACTTCCTGGAAAGCCATTCTTAGTACTGATTCTTTTAATTTTTCGTTTTTCCATTTCTGGCTTGGGGGTACAATGAAGGGACAATATATTTCACCAAATCTTAAAACCTTAAAGTAATTTGTGCATCCAATTTGGGGGCTCTCTTTTTCTTCCAGAAAGTTCCCTGAGGCTATCTCACATAAAATCTTACTTTGAATAAGGTATTTGGACACATTGATGAAAACATTCCTTTAGTGCATTGTTGTTTGCCAGATCAAGGAAAAAGACATCAGGAAAAAAGGAGGGAATATTTTAAGTTTGTTTTTGGCTGTGACTTCAAGGAGTAATAATCACCCATTACTTAGGATCAAAATCTTCCAATGACTCAAGAGCACGTGTTTTTATCATCTACTTTCTAGGTTCTCATTCTGTTTATCCCGTGTTACTCTGCTCCTGTGAGAGTTGGGGAGCAAGGAAAAATGTAAGGAAGGGGTAGTGGTGAGAGAATTTAAATGCGAAGTCTGGTTCCTTTTAATTTTTTCAGAAAATGCCACACGTACAAGTCTATGAGTATCTCAACAAATCTGCCTCCCACATCCAATGCATCTTTTATACTGACAAGAAGAGGTGGTTGGAAATGTCATCTGTAGCCAGCCTATATCCTGTCAGTGTGAAGATTTTATTCTTGTGACTTTATACTTCTCAAAATCTTTTTAAGGGTCACTGGAGGGTGATCTTTTGTTTAAGAGATGGGTTAGCAGAGGGAGTGTGTTTGTGCCTCTTGGTCTATAATAATCATGGCTGATGTCACAGTTAGAAAATAGGCCCATTTCAGAAAATTGTTTTAATTTATTAATTAAATAAGAAATAATAATCATTAGTTTATTTTAAACTTTAAAAATTAAATATGAATTTTTAATGTGGATCCCTTTTACTGATTTAGGGCAAAGAGACCTTCTTTCGCTAGGAATTTTTTTCCTCTAAATCAATTCACCTCCTCTTGTATCATCTCTGGCTTCTGAAATCTCGCTCCTGTTTTAATGGTTGGCTCAGGATTTCCTGTCTACCATTTCTTCCATCACTGATAGAGCTTCCCCTTAAAATCGGCAGTGACTGCACATACTCTGATAAATTAACTGCTGAGGATTGCTGTGTTAGAGGTATGGGGTGGAATCTAGTGAAGTGTAGCAAATCATTTTTATCTCCTACTCCCTATTAAGCAGTAGCTGTTATTCCATTATCTGTGTTTTGAATCTGTTTGATCCTCAAAGTCTAAAAGTAGCTTCTGTGCAGGTCTATGGTGCTATGGCTGTCCCTTGCTACTATAAATTCCTCTGGTTGAGCCACATCCGCTTGCCACATCCTGAAAATACACTCAACTATATTTTCCCATGCACACCTATATATGGTGGCCTGTAGTGACATTATTTTTTTTTTCTTTTCTTTTTTGAGTTGGAGTTTCACTCTTGTCACCCAGGCTGGAGTGCAGTGTCGTGATCTCGGCTCACTGAAACCTCAGCCTCTCGGGTTCAGGCGATTCTCCTGCCTCAGTCTCCTGAGGTGCCACAATGCCTGGCTAATTTTTTGTATTTTTGGTAGACAGAGTTTTACCACGTTGGCCAGGCTGGTCTTGAACTCCTGACCTCAGGTGATCTACCTGCCTCGGCCTCCCAAAGTGCTGGGATTACAGGCGTGAGCCACCGCACCCAGCCAACATTACTTCTATATACAGTTATTTTCCCCTTCCTCACAAACTCGCCAGTTCTGAATTAACAGCAAGTACAACATTGCCGTTTCTCCCACACCATGCTGACCTTGTTGTTTCTTATTTAGCTAATGATGTGTTACAGTTGGCATTTCACTGGGAGGTTTACAAGAGTCAGTCTCTCTAGCGCTACAATTAGATTCAAAGAGAGAGAAGAGTGCTGTGATGGGAAGACTTTCATTCTCAGACATTATTTCTATCTGGGCATTTTGAAAAGATAAAGGGCTTGTTGTCATTATGCCTCCATCTGACAACTTGGTCAATGTATCCTTCATGAAGCTCAGCTTGAATAGGGAAAAACAAGGGAATTGCGAGGGTACATTTCTTCTTCTGATGGCAACACTCTAATCGTTCTGCCTCATTGTCTTTAGGCAAGGAAGGGAGAAGACAGGAAGAGGAAGAAGAGAGAACGTAAAAGGTAGGCAAAGGGAATGGCTGGTATGTGCTCATACCTGAGGCAGGAACAGGTTGGGGTCAGTACAATGCAATCAGGTTTCTTACGTCTCCTTCCTTCTGTTCTTGCTACTGACTTTGCTTTCTCCTAATTCTGGCTTGCTCGTGATTCCTCATGGCTTCTAAAGGTATTTCACAGCCTTCTTTGATGTACACTGTCATCATCCTCATTTCCTGTTTCAAGTATCCTCATTTCCTTTGTTCTGACTGGCATAACTTGTTTTTTTACCTGTGGCCACTCCAGAGGTCATGGAGAGGCTATGGCTTGGCTGCTCTCGCCTTAGATATGCACGCCTGACTGAGACCTGAATCGCCAGGCTGCGTGACATAAAACATATCCTCCTGGGGCTACATGTTCTGCGGGGGCTGTGGGTAGAACATTCTGGGGTAAGGTAGGTGGCAGCCAATCTTACCTTAGGTTCTCCAACACGGCAAACACACACTATTCATGCTTGTAATTAATTTTGTAGCCTACGTGAACATAAGGCAAAAGAGCCCACAGAGTGATCTAGCACATGGCAGTTGTAGGATGCCGGTTGCTGATACATTTGGTTCAAAACGAAAGCCTTCTGTGTTAAATCCACGGCAGGAAACAACAGCTACAAACAAAAAATCCTCAACAGTGATTTTACCCATGAAAACATAGATAAACAATCATTTACACCCTCAAAGAACGAATAAAAGATCAAAGTTGGAATAACAGAACACAGAACCTTTTGTTCCCCTTTTTCTGCTTGAGCAAAAATCACCCAAGGACTAGAAAGTTCACTATTCTATTGCTTCTTATATGTGAATGCAAACATCCATAGGCCAGAAGTCAGGTGAGGTTTTTCCTGCCCCTTGAGATCTATGTAAATTTACCTTTTTTTTTTGTTTGTTTTTTGGTAAATTTACCTTTAACTCTCGAATTCTATGGGCCAAAGAGCTTTACCTCCAAGATTTCTGTTACTTTCTAGAACGGCAATGGCAGTAGATGAGTGATTGTGTCCTGCTGGCTTTCTGTACCACTTGGGTTCAGCTACCTCGAGTGTGCCTTTGTTCTGTAATTTGTCCACTCTGATAGGACACTGCTGCTTTGGGGAGGGGTTCCCCCTCTCCCACAGCCCTATCTCTTACCTGTCTCTTCCAGATTTCTCTAGATGGCTCAAGATCTTCCATTTCTATTTCTCCAATTTTGCAGAGCAACTCAACTCTCCCTCCGCATTTCTCCCTGGTTTTGACGCCTTAACCCTCAAAACAACAACAAAAAACAAAAAAACTAAACAGAATTGAGGGACTTCCATTAGATCTCTATGCTTCTAAGGAGGCAGTAGGCATTATATAATAACTTGCACTTAGATAGCAAACAAGCTATATAGTACTTTATAAAAACCCCACCAAAATGTGAGATTAGAACCATTATCTCACCTTTGTCAGTGAGAAAACTTGAGTACTGAAGTTAAGTGAAGAACTTGGGATCACTACACAACTAGTGTGGCAGCTTAAGTGCCAATGTGAAAGTTATGCTAGGTTCTGGTAGATTCAAGGAATGCCATAGATTTTGTATACTTGTATTTCAACAAGACTTTGTATCAATCTGTCAACACATCTTTGGTGGAACTAATGGATCTATGTTCCTGGACAATTGGGTGGGTCTGTTTCTGGCTGAATGGCCATCACCAGAGAGTGCTTATTAGTGAATCACTATCAAATGAGAAAAAGTTAGAATGGATTTTTGGCACTTAGTGGCATCCAAATACTCATGACCTTTCCTGATAGTGTCCTGAATTCATGTGGGGCAGGAAGTGCAGGTGGAATCCTTCTATTACAGATGCTAAAGCATCTCTTTGGCCACATCCTTCTTCTTACTGCCCTGGTACAGCCAGGAATCAATCATGAGAGCTGAGCTCAGCAAAGAAGAGCTTTCTCTGGGCTCTGCAAATCTTAAATAGTGTGACAAACAGATGATAATTAGAGTGTATTTGTTCCAGAGACAGCCTCCTAGGCTAGACTGTCATGTACCTAATTTTGGTTCTAACTGGTTCTCTTGTTCCCAGGCATGGTTCTTTGGCTTTCTTTTGATTTCCTAGAATGTGTTTTCGTGAACTGTAACCAAAGGGCCTAAATAAGAACAGATTTCTCTAGTGGCACGTCAAATTCTGGCCATGGCTCTTTATCTTGTTTGCCATTTTTAAAAAATATCTGAGATTAAAATGCAGATTATATTAGGGACTGGAATGATTACAACAAATGGGAATGATGGATTAAAAATAGGCAAAATATGACTGATAAAGATGATGGCAGATTGGCATTTTAGATGCTAAAATCTATCTGCACACGCTGAGTTAGGTAAGTGGTAGAAGCTTACATTACAGAAATAATAGCAACACTCCCATTTAAGGTCTACATTGGAAAGAATCCCAAAATTGGGACATTGAGGCTGAAGGTGACTCAGCTAACGCCTGGTGGTAGCAGAATTCAAACACAAGTTCTGGGTTTTTTCCCTGAGGTTATAGGTAGTAGCCAAAGCTGCAAGCACAGAGGATTTAGCCAGAGCCAGAACCAGCGAGGGCAGTTCTGGGGTCCAAAGGCTGTGGTGAACTCAGGTATGAGCCAGGGGGCATTTTAATCCAGGGACTGAGGCAAAGCAACCTGCAGGGGAAAGTTAGAATCAAGGTGGTGCTTTATGTATTGCTAAATACAATATAGCAAATGTGTCAGTTCTCCCTGAAACCATCTGTAGGCTTAATGGAAACCTTATCAAAGTCCTAGTATGATTTTTTTTTAATTTTTAAAATTATGGTAAGATACGCATAACATAAAATTTACCATCCTGTTTTATATATACACTGAAATGGTACTAATACATCATAATATGCAACCATTCCCATTATCCACCCCCATAGGTCCTTTCATTTTGTAGAACTGAAACTTTATATCTGTTAAAAACAACTTTCCATTCTCACTGTTCCCCAGTCCCTGGCAACCATCATTCTACTCTCTGTTTCTATGAATTTGGCAACTCTAAGAACCTGCTATAAATGGAAGCATATAGTATCTGTAATTTTGTGATTGGCTTACTTCACTTAGCCTGTCATTTTAACAGTTCATCCATGTCGTAGCATAAGTCAGAATTTCCTTCCTTTTTAAGGTTGAATAATACTCCATTGCATGTATGTACCACATTTTGCTTATTCATTCATTGGTTGGTGAACACTGGATTGCTTCCACATTTAGCTGCATGAACATGGATGTACAAATATATTTTGGAGACTCTGCCTTAAATTCTTTTGGGTATATACTCAGAAGCGGAATTGCTGGGTCATACGGTAATATTATTTTTTTGTTTTTGTTTTTTGAGGAACTGCTATGATGTTTTCCAGAGGGGCTGTACCATTTTATAGCCCCATCACTAGTGCGTAAGGATTCCCATTTCTCCACTTATTATTTTCTATGTTTTTTTTTTTTTTGGTAGTAGCCATCCTAATGGATGTGAGGTGAGATTATTATAGTTTTGATTTACATTTCCCTAATGATTAGTCATGATGAGCATCTTTTATATACTTATTGGTCATTTGTATAATCTTCTTTGGAGAAATAGCCACTGATGTCCTTTTCCCATTTTAAAAATTAAGGTTTTTGTTGTAGTGGCTGATTTGGGGAGTTCTCTATATGTTTTGAATATTAATCCCTTATCACATACATGATTTACAAGTATTTTTTTTCTCCTTCTGTGAGTTGCCTTTTTTAACCTTGTTGATAGTGTCTTTCAATGCACAATTAAAAAATAAGTTTTATGAACTCCAATTTGTTTATTTCTTCTTTCATTGCCTGTCTCTTAGGTGTCATATCCAAGAAGTCATTGCTGAATCCAGTGTCTTACAGCTTCATTCTATGCTTTCTTCTAAAAGTTTTATAGATTGAGGTCTTGCATAAGGTATTGATTCCTTTTGAATTAATTTTTGTATATGTTGTTAGGAAAGGGTGGAACTTCCATGAGGATATCCAGCCCAGCATAGTTAAAAAAAAAAAACAGCAAAAAGACTTTATTTTCCACTTTCTAATTCTCCTAGAACCATTCTCATTAACATCCATTTTTATTTTATTTTATTATTATACTTTAAATTCTGAGATACATGTGCAGAATGTGCAGATTTGTTACATAGGTATACATATGACATGATGGTTTGCTGCGCCCATCAACCCATCATCTACATTAGGTATTTCTCCTAATGCTATTCCTTCCCTACTCCCCATCCTCCACCAGGTCCTGGTGTGTGATGTTCTCCTCCCTGTGTCCATGTGTTACTGTTCAACTCCCACTTATGAGTGAGGACACCAGCATAGTTTTTAATAGACATAGGCAAGTTTATTTTAAAGTTTACATGGAAATGCACAGCACCTAGAATAGCTAAAATATTTTTAAAAGAATAACTAATTGGAGAAAATTGCCTGATGTTAATTCTTACTATATAGCTATAGTAATCAAGACAATGTAGTGTTTGTAGAGGAACAGACATGTAGATCAATGGAATAGAAGAGAGAACACAGATACAGACCCATATAGACATGTCTGATTTTTGGATTATTCTCACATTGCTAATAAAGACATACCCAAGACTGGGTAATTTATAAGGAAAAAGAGGGCTAATGAACTCACAGTTTCACATGACTGGGGAGGCCTCACAATCATGGCAGTAGGCAAAGGAGGAGCAAAGGCATGTCTTCCATGGCGGCAGGCAAGAGAGCATGTGCAGGGGAACTGCCCTTTATAAAACCATCAGATCTCATGAGATTTATTCACTATCATGAGAACAGTGTGGGAAAAACCTGTCCCCATGATTCATCTACCTCCCACTGGGTCCCTCTCGACATGTGGGGATTATGGGAGCTACAATTCAAGATCAGATTTGGGTGGGGACACAACCATATCACTGACGAAGGTGCAAAAACAATTCAGTGGGTGAAAATGGTCTTTTCAACAAA